GCCGGTTGCCGGGGGAAAAAACCCCACTGCCCCCCCCCCCGAAAAAAAATGAGACTAGGACTACAGTGTGCCATGGAACATACAGGTGAAGACCCGGCCTTGTGGAACAATGTGGACCGAGGAAACAAAGATAAAGTTGTTTGGTTAGTAGACGTGTTCGGCACAAACCCAAGACAGGATTTCAGAAGAAGGACCTCATACCAACTGTGAAGCACGGTGGTGGAAAGATTATAATTCGGGGTTGCTTTGCTACTCCCGGGCCCGGGCAGCTCGCAGTCATGGAGTCACCTCTGAATTCTGCATCATATTGAAGTGTGCTTGATGAGAACGGAGGTAGTTGTACCCGAGACGGAGGGGCGGTCTGTCCAGTGGCGTCACAAGGGGGGTGCGGCCCGCACACGGGTGACACTCGGTTACCGCTCCGGGTGTCACCCAGCCTCGGGACGCCCCTGGGTCCGTCCAATCCGGGAGCCAGCAGAGTCATTTCAGGAGCTCCATTGACAGACGTCTCGGCTCCACATCTCCGGACCTCATGAGCAGTCTCATCTGGACTCGGGTATCTATGAGCTGACTGATGCTGCTGCCGGGTGAAAAGGCCGAGTGCTGACAGAACCCTAATAAGGTAGAAGAGCTGCCTGTTGGTTTTGGGGGACCCATTAGGGGGGCGCTCGGTTAGTCACGAATTGACCTGAATTCGGCCGGTGGCTTGGAGGAGAAGGTGTTGTGTATGTGTTATGCTGTACAAAGCCCCATATATTGTTTTTGCTGCTGAAACAAATGTGCAGGATAAACCTGCTTGGACTGTTCCTGGGTGTCTCCGCCTCATGCACGGTTTATTCCAGGGATGCACCGAGGACCGATATTTTATTTTTTTTGCACTGGCATGGAGCCAGCTTCCTGGGCAATCAGAAAGCCGGGTGACTACCTGCCGCCCGGCTTTTTGATAGCCCAGGAAGTCAACTTCATACTGTTTTTCTGTCTCCATCCTGATTGGCTGGAAAGTCGGCTTCCCAGCCAATCGGCGTGGACCCTTCCCCACCGCCCGGCTTCCTGGATGGCTGGGAAGCTCCCACATGGCACTGCCCGTCGGAGGAAATCTCCTTTTCACCAGAAGTTCCGGTATCGGGAGCATTTGAGCAAGTACAAGTACTCCGGCACCTGTACCAATACTGTTATCGGCGCATCCCTAGTTTATACAAATGTTTCTCTTTGATTGAATGCATATTAAAGATCCGCCCCCCGTATTAGAGAACAGCGCCCACCAAGCGTGCCAGTTATGTGCAGGAACCCTACCGCAGTCTTCTGTTCTCCGCAATCCTCCACATGGACCGCCGTCCTCGTGACTGAAAAATCAAATCGCACCTTTCCCGCACATTGTGTACAAACGTTTTATTGGTTGAACTTTGCAAGTTACATTTTCTACATACAGCGCTTCAGATACAGGTGACTCCGCCCACTTCCATCATTCCTACCCTCAGTTTAAGATTTATCATTATGGCAAAATAAAAGAATGAAAAACAACCTGAAAATTGATGCAGCAAATTGGTACAGAGAGAAGAGCCCGGATCTGAGTGATCAGCCCCGACCAGCCGCTCGCAGCATAGATTGTTACTTTCACTTCTGGAGAATCCTATCACCGGGAATGAATGTGTGAGGAAAGGATATGAAGCTCTTATCAGATCCGGTCTCTTCCGGAGTTTTACATTGCAATGATGAAAAGTCTCCAGAACACACATCGGGGTGAATTCAATAAAACACGTACAACACTTTTCTGGTGGTGTGGCCCTTTAAAAAGAAAAAATGTCTCTCACCACTGTGGGTCTCTGGGTTATAACAAGACTTCCTTTCTCAATGAAACATTTCCCACACTCTCAACATGAACAAGGTCACTCACCAGTGTGAATTGCTCAGATGTGAAGCAAGGCTTACTTTACGAGTAAAACATATCTCGCTCTCTGAACATAACTAAGGACGCTCATTCATGTGAATTTTTTTGTGATTAGAGAGTAATCTTTTCTTGGTGAAACATTTCCCGCATTCTGAACATGAGAAAGGACGCTCACCCGTGTGAATCCTCTGGTGCTTAACAAGAAAACATTGCTTTGTGAAAGTTTTCCCGCACTCTGAACATAAATAAGGACGCTCGCCCGTGTGAATTTTCTGATGTTGAACAAGAACAGATTTCTCAGCAAAGGTTTTTCCGCACTCGGTACATAAATAAGGACGCTCACCTGTGTGAATCCTCTGGTGTTTAACAAGTCTTTCTTTTATAGAGAAGCACTTCTGTTCCTGGGTGTCTCCGCCTCATGCACGGTTTATTCCAGGGATGCACCGAGGACCGATATTTTATTTTTTTTGCACTGGCATGGAGCCAGCTTCCTGGGCAATCAGAAAGCCGGGTGACTACCTGCCGCCCGGCTTTTTGATAGCCCAGGAAGTCAACTTCATACTGTTTTTCTGTCTCCATCCTGATTGGCTGGAAAGTCGGCTTCCCAGCCAATCGGCGTGGACCCTTCCCCACCGCCCGGCTTCCTGGATGGCTGGGAAGCTCCCACATGGCACTGCCCGTCGGAGGAAATCTCCTTTTCACCAGAAGTTCCGGTATCGGGAGCATTTGAGCAAGTACAAGTACTCCGGCACCTGTACCAATACTGTTATCGGCGCATCCCTAGTTTATACAAATGTTTCTCTTTGATTGAATGCATATTAAAGATCCGCCCCCCGTATTAGAGAACAGCGCCCACCAAGCGTGCCAGTTATGTGCAGGAACCCTACCGCAGTCTTCTGTTCTCCGCAATCCTCCACATGGACCGCCGTCCTCGTGACTGAAAAATCAAATCGCACCTTTCCCGCACATTGTGTACAAACGTTTTATTGGTTGAACTTTGCAAGTTACATTTTCTACATACAGCGCTTCAGATACAGGTGACTCCGCCCACTTCCATCATTCCTACCCTCAGTTTAAGATTTATCATTATGGCAAAATAAAAGAATGAAAAACAACCTGAAAATTGATGCAGCAAATTGGTACAGAGAGAAGAGCCCGGATCTGAGTGATCAGCCCCGACCAGCCGCTCGCAGCATAGATTGTTACTTTCACTTCTGGAGAATCCTATCACCGGGAATGAATGTGTGAGGAAAGGATATGAAGCTCTTATCAGATCCGGTCTCTTCCGGAGTTTTACATTGCAATGATGAAAAGTCTCCAGAACACACATCGGGGTGAATTCAATAAAACACGTACAACACTTTTCTGGTGGTGTGGCCCTTTAAAAAGAAAAAATGTCTCTCACCACTGTGGGTCTCTGGGTTATAACAAGACTTCCTTTCTCAATGAAACATTTCCCACACTCTCAACATGAACAAGGTCACTCACCAGTGTGAATTGCTCAGATGTGAAGCAAGGCTTACTTTACGAGTAAAACATATCTCGCTCTCTGAACATAACTAAGGACGCTCATTCATGTGAATTTTTTTGTGATTAGAGAGTAATCTTTTCTTGGTGAAACATTTCCCGCATTCTGAACATGAGAAAGGACGCTCACCCGTGTGAATCCTCTGGTGCTTAACAAGAAAACATTGCTTTGTGAAAGTTTTCCCGCACTCTGAACATAAATAAGGACGCTCGCCCGTGTGAATTTTCTGATGTTGAACAAGAACAGATTTCTCAGCAAAGGTTTTTCCGCACTCGGTACATAAATAAGGACGCTCACCTGTGTGAATCCTCTGGTGTTTAACAAGTCTTTCTTTTATAGAGAAGCACTTCCCACACTCTGAACATGAATAAGGACGCTCACCCGTGTGGATACTCTGGTGTTCAGTAAGTGCTTTCTTCTGAGTAAAACTTTTCCCGCACTCCGAACATGAAAAAGGACGCTCGCCCGTGTGAATTCTCTGGTGCAGAACAAGAGTTGATTTCTGTGCAAAACATTTCCCACACTCCGAGCATGAGAAAGGGCGCATACCAGTATGAATTCTCCGGTGCACAGTAAGTGCATTACTCCGAGTAAAACTTTTCCCGCATTCTGAACAAGAAAAAGGACGCTCACGCGTGTGACTTTTGTGGTGTACAAAAAGTCTTTTTTTGCTAGTGAAACATTTGCCACACTCTGAACAAGGGAAAGAACCCTTGTCTACGTGAATGCTCTGGTGTTCAATTAGTGCTCCTTTCCAAGTGAATCTTTTTCCGCACTCTGAACATGAATAGGGACGCTCGCCAGTGTGAATTCTCTGGTGTGACAGGAGTAATCTTTTTTGGGTGAAACTTTTCCCACACTCTGAACATGAATAAGGACGCTCACCCGTGTGACATCTCTGGTGATTAACAAGATATTCTTTTCGCGTGAATGATTTTCCGCATTCTGAACATGAATAAGGACGTTCACCTGTGTGAATTTTCTGGTGTGTAGTAAGAGCTCCTTTCTTCAAAAATGATTTCCCGCACTCTGAACAGGAAAAGGGACGCTCACCCGTATGAGTCTTCTGGTGTGTTAGAAGTGTACTTTCATCAATGATGCTTTGTCGGCATTCTGAACTGGAATAAGGACGCTCACACGTGTGAATTGTTTGGTGTGACAGGAGTAATCCTTTGTCAGTGAAACTTTTCCCGCACTCTGAACATGAATATGAACAATCACCCTTGTGACTTTTCTGGTGATTAACAAGGTGTCCTTTTTGAGTGAATGATTTCCCACATTCTGAACATGAATAAGGACGCTCACCCGTGTGAATTCTCTGGTGCGTAGTAAGATCTCCTTTACTAATAAACGATTTCCCGCACTCTGAACAAGAAAAGGGGCGATCACCCGTATGAGTCTTCTGGTGTTTTAGAAGTCTATTTTTAACACTGAAACTTTTCCCGCACTCTGAACATGAAAAAAGGTGATCTCCTGTGTGAATTATCTGGTGTGTAAGAAACTCGTTTTCCTTTTCAAAAGTTTGTCCGCACTCTGAACATGAAAAACGACGATCTCTTCTGTGAATTTTCTGGTGTAAAAGTAGCTGTTTTTTATAAGTAAAACATTTCCCACACTCGGAACACGAAAAAGAATCCTCAACCGTGTGACTTTGCTGGTGTGTAAGCAATTTGCTTTCTTTATTAAAACATTTTCCACACTGTAAACATAAAAAACGAGGATCTCCTGTGTGGGTTTTCTGGTGCGCAAGGAATTTGCTTTCCTTAATAAAACATTTTCTGCACTCAGAACATGAAAAACGACGGTCTGCTTTATGAGTTTTCTGGTGTAGAAGTAGATGTTTCTTGTTAGTAAAACCTTTCCCACACTCTGAACATGAATAAGGATCTTCGCCCATGTGAATTTTCTGGTGCGTAAGCAATTTGCTTTCCTTACTAAAACATTTTCCGCACTCTGAACATGAAAAACTATGATCACCTTTGTGATTTCTCTGGTGTAGAAGTAGATTTTGTTTTTTAGTAAAACCTTTCCCACACTCCGAACACGAATAAGGATCCTCACCTGTGTGGGTTCTCTGGTGTTTAAAAAAATCGATTTCCTTATTGAAACATTTCCCGCATTCTGAACATGTGAAAGTTACACTGGTATGGGATCGGAGGTGTATATGAAGTTCAGCGTTTGTCTTGAATGATTTCCCGCACCCCAAACACGAGAATGGATCCTCACCTCTGTGATCTCCTTCATGGGGTGAGGAGGATTCCTTGGGATTAGATGGATCTCTTGCAGTGTGAGATCTTAGATGGATATTTCCAGTCATAGTATGTGAATGATCAGAAGATTCACCCTGATCAGAGGGATCCATTGATGTCTCCGAGCAGTGAGGTCTGTGATGTATGTTTTGTGTGTTTGGATTCACTCCTGGAGAATCCTGTGTGAGGACATTATCTTCTGACTTACAACCAGCAGATAATATAAGATGTCTCTCCGAGGTATTCCTGACATCACATCCATCTGCTGGAGAGAAATCATTACACACGTCAGTAATCAGAGTCATGTATGATGGTCTAGAAGTCATCACAGAGCTCTGGCATGGAATTGGGTACAATTGTAACCCCAAAATATGAAAACCAATCAGATAAAGGAGACAAAACCCCAAAAACACCTCTGACCCCCTGGAGACCATTGTACTGCTCATTCATGACCGCTATGGGGGGGGGGGGGGGG